CCAAGAAACTTCATTTTAAAAGATGTTGTCTGAATGAATAGCTTATGCAATAAAATTACAACAGAAACAAAGGACCTCCAATTATATTATTTTAATATTAAACATCACTTTGGAGACTATTTATTGACAATTATATGGCCTCATTATTTGTTCATTCCTTTACTTATTTATTCAACAATTATTTGGGTTCATGGTATGTAAAAGTAGAGGACAATTAATTGGGGAAATTGCAACAAGAGATCAATGCAAACAGGACTGTAAGATGAGAGAGCAGTGTTTGGCAAAGGAACCTTTCTGTAGAAGTTATCTTGTAATCAAAATCTGAGCTACCCACGCAAATGAGGAGGGACAGAATGCCTTAGAGAAAGGTTTATGCAAATAGAGGGCGGAGGTGCACACAGGGCGCCGAAGATAGGAAAGCTAGAAAGGACCAGATCATAAAATAGTTAAAAGCCATACCAAGGAAAATGAGTTACATTCTGAAGTTAAAGAGGGGTTCTTGGAAGGGACACAGGGAGTCGTATAATCAAATATGTGATTTAGAAAGCTCATTGGAGGAAGTCAGGCTGGAAATGTTCGGAATGGTTAGAAGAGGACTGCAGTAGTTTGGGGACTGACTATAAAGCAAGGTGCTGAACACTTATGTTTCTATGTGGTTGTATCAATATGAGTGTGATCTCTCGTGGGTCATTTTAATAAAAACCTGTTGAAAAAAAATTTGTTATTTTAAAAATTGCATAAAGTAGGTGCTCATGTGTGGAGTTCATGTTTTCACCCATTCATGTTGTTTTACCTACTTTTAGAAACAAAATATTAAAAATATTAACTGGATGGCTATTAAGAGGTTTGGGGAACTATTAGGTTTTATTTTTAGGATGCTGCCACCTAGTGAAACTTTTGCAAAATCACTGTGCTGATCTCATTCAAGTTTGTATCTTCTATCCTTTCCTCAAAACAATATTTTAATAATTTATGTTTTCTGCCATCCATGGGAAAAGAATTGTACATGCATTAAAACAAACTGTAGGAGCCACAAGTGATTTTCTTTTTTTGATGTGGCGCCACAGATGTGACCACAGGGCTTTTAATAATGAGATAACGTATATAAAGTTTCATGGCTTCTTCATTGTGCCATTCTTTATAAATAATTGATAATAAAATAAACTGTAGGTTTTTTTATTCCTTGCGTTTGCTAAGAAAAGTAGAGTTGTAAATAAGTATCTATGAATAGTTAAATTGTAAAATTTGCTTCAAAAAGAAAATCAGTACTTTAACTAGAAATGTTGGTAAAATAAGGATTTCAAATTCAGATTTTTTTTTCTTAAATGGAACTTCAGTATTGAAACTGTATCTTAAAATATAAACAAGCGTGTATGTGTGTGTGTGTGTGTGTGCCTACTGAACCTAAACATTAGTCTGCACACCCAGGTTTTGATAACGTCTTAATTTTGGTAGAGATTAATTGTATTTGTTTCCTATCACTCCCAAACTTATGCTAGCATGGAGCAGCTATTGTATTTTTATTACATGTATTGTTTCTTTTTGTGTGTGTGAGAAACAAAGTCCAAATTCCCCCACCTTCCCCAACCCAAATTAAATATATAGTACCGGTAAAAACGTTTTTTTTTTAGGAAATGCTAGTTCTGGCCACATAATAATGAGCAAGGTTTCTAATTAACTGACTCTTCAATACAGAGGGTGCCAAAAATATGTATACACATTTTAAGAAAGGGAAAAACTGTATTACAATTGTAGTACTCAATATATACCAATAACAAAAGATGAATACAAGTCATGTGTATACATTTTTTGGCACCACCAGGATATTGAGTTTTCTTTATAGAAACTATACTAATAGGGCACGGGTTGGCAAATCTTTTCTGCAATGGCTAGAAAATAAATATGACTTTGTCAGCCATAGTCTCTGTTGTAAACTATTCAATTCTGCTTGCAAAAGCAGCCATAGACAATATTTCAACAAATCATTTGTTGTGTTATATTTTATTTAAAATATAAATATTTTAAAAAGGTCATAGTTTGCACCCCTCTGTTCTAGGTAAAGTACCTATAGTAGAAATTTGGGGTTATTTATTCCTAAGAGGTGTTAGAAAAATTTAAAATCGGTCCCTCTGCAATTGTTTCCTTCAAAAACTTCAATCGATAGATGTGTTTCTTCAAAGTTGCAGAAAAGCTAAAGTTTTGAGAATGTAATTATTATACGTGTATTTAGTAAGCTAAGAAAGAAGAACTTAGAGGTAAAACATTTTTACAAAGTGAACTATCATCCCCATTTAATGATCAGTTATTGTTTTCTTATTTCGTGTTCATGTACAAAGTTGTCTTAATGTGGAATGAATCATTATATTCTCTAAGTAAAACTTTTAACATTTTGATATGCAGAAAGCTAAATCGTATTGATGGTAAGCCATTAAATTAGAAAGGTACCACTTGGGAACACTTTGGATAATATAAATTCACTTCTCCGGGTTGTCCTTCTGGAAACTTAGTAGAAACAGAGGATTACTAAAACATTAAATTTTACTAGGCAGACATACAAAACACTTGAGACATATAAGTAAATAACTAAGATAGAATAGAGTCAGATAGGAAGAGGTTATTATGGTCTCAAGTCAATAGGGAGAATACAGTGTAGAGTCAGAAACAGCATCATGTTTTATGGGTGAACTTTGTGTCAGTTGATCTAGGCAGGACTCAGTCTCAGGGTTACTGCTAGTCTCAGCTGAGCTTACACATGCACCTCTAGCTAACTAAGGGGAGGTCGGGGGACCAGCAGATCCGGGATGAACTCAGGAAGGATGATTCTAATCCACGTTTTAAAAAAATATTTATTTATTTATTTATTTAGTTAGTTAGTTAGTAGTTAGTTTCAGGTGTACAAAAGAACATAGTGATTAGACATTTATATATACCTCACGAAGTAATAGCCCCAACAATCTATTACCTGATACTGTACATACAGTTATTACAATATTATTGACTATGTTCTCTATGCTGTACTATATATCCCCGTGACTGTTTTTTAAAATTATAATTGGCATTCAGTATTATTTTCTAATAGTTTCAGGTGTACAGAGTAGTGGTTAGACATTTATATCAGTTATAAATCCCCCCACATTTTTTGCATCTTCCATCTGGGTCATCTGGTTGGCCCAGTCTAGTTTTTCTCACAAAGACAGCAGAGGGCAAGAGAGAGCAAGCAGTCAAGTGCTGTGCGGACTTTGCTTGCATTACGTATGATGACATTCCACTGGTCAAAACAAGTCCCCAGGTTTATCCCAGTGGCAGAGAATTGAACCCTGCCCACAGTGGGGGGAACTGAAAAGTTACATGGCGATGTGTACAAGAAGGGAGGAAGGATTGCAACAATTAAGGCAATTTACCATAGCATGTGTACACTTGAATTTATTAAATTAAATACCAGCAAGGTGTGGGTTTAGTGACAAACCGAAAACTTGTATTAATTCCTTCAGGTTAGTAGGATACACTAAAGCAGCAATTTTCAAACTTTTTAGTAATGTAAAGGTTTTACACTCTTAAATATCATTGAGGACCTCAAAAAGGGTTTGATTTCTATCATGTTTAAATCTATTTATATTTACTGTGTTTGTAATTAAAACTGAATATTAAAATGCATTTATTTATTTATTTTAGAATAGCAATAACAAATCCATTCTACATTATACATTAGCATAAATAATATATTGTTAGGGAAACAAAACTATATTTTCTGAAACAAACAAAAAAAGAATATTTTATATTTGGCAAATCCTTTTACTGTTTGGTTTAATAAAAGATAACTTTTTCTTGTTTGTTTTGTTTTTATATCTGCTTCTGCATTCAACTTCTTGATTTTATTTTTCTTTGTGGAGATCTGAAAAAAAAATGGCCCTCATAAAGATATAAAGTCAGAAAAAGCAGAAGTTGTTTAATAAGCTTTTCAGTTAATTATAAATATTTTTTGATAATGCACTTTGACAAGGGAAAACTTCTTGGGAGTTGTAGTGTGAAATGTGAAACAAATTACTGAACTTACTTTGTTACATTAAAACCCATTGGTTGATTTTGCATTTTGAATAGATCTTTTATCCATGATATGCAACATCAAACATTGGTCATTTGGAAAACAGTGCTTCACTGAGTTGAATATTTTCCAAATATTTACACATTTCATTATATATTTTGAAATTATATATTACTGCTAAGTTCATCAGAAATACCTTTAAATACTGGGAAGGGGTCATATTCATAGAAGTGAATACAAGTTTTCCAAGTTCTAATTTCTCTTGAGAAAATTTTTTTCCATTATAAATAATTACTATGAGTTGTTTTCCTTGAATTGCTAAGTTCATACAATTCATATTATTGCTTATCAGTGTCTCTTCTAGGAAAAAATAATTCTTCATCAAGTAAAATTGGCTGATTCAGCTTGCAACTCAAATAATCTCCTAAATGCATTACTTTGAGACAACCACCTTACTTACGTCAGAAGGTGGTGAAATGTTTTCCACATACTTTCAACATTTAACATTAAAAATATGGCAATATAGGTATTGCAATTTACTATAAATTTATCACTTTTACAGCTTTATCAAGGAGACTTTTAAGTGAAATTATCTTTTTCCCCCTGCATCTGAATGGCTTTGATATGCAATGACTACTTGTATAATTTGGTGCCACAGCTTTGATCTGTGCTAAGGTGCCAACAGTTTTAACCCATCACCACTTTTGCATTATTAGTTCAAATGTCAGCAGCTTGGTGAAGAAGGCAAAGAATGTCTTTATATGATGAAAACTGTTTTGACCTAAGAGGACCTAGGGAATGCCCAGGGTTTTGTGATTTATACTTAGAGAACCACTGCACCAAAGAATAAACCATGTTTATGGTACAGCAGTTTGTCAACGATTTTCTTAAAGATATTTGTACTTACTCTTTTGAATCATTAAGCAAATTTAAAACTTGTTATTATGTTGTCCCCCAGGGTTGTTTTGTTGGCTTTGATCTAGCACATGCAGTTGGAAATGTTGAACTCCACTTACATGACTGGGGAGTCGATTTTGCCTGCTGGTGCTCCTACAAGGTACAAACTAGTTAATATATTTACTTCCTTTTATTCCACATTAGCATTAACCTAAATAAAAAACTAGATAGATGACCAATTTGAATTATTTTAATTACTTTTCTTCAGTTCTTTTATTTGTGTTTTGCTTTTTGTTTTGCTTTGTTTTATTTTAGTTCACTGTAATTATACAATAAAATAATATGATTAAACTCTGGAGTTTCCATCTACTATAGAGTAGTTATTCCTTCAATTTCCTGGCTGCTATAAAAATGTCAGAAGGTTCGGGAAAAAAGCTCCACACTTAAAACTTAATTCAAATTGATTAGGCTCTTAGTTTTTTGATATGTTGTGAAATTTCTACATATGTAAGTGAATTCCTATGGAATCAACTTGGTATTGACATTTAAAGACAATTTAATGAACAGGAAACGTGGAAATGAAACCAATTTTATTTTAATTTAGGTATTTTTAAAATATGACACTTTTATTATTTAAATATGTTTTTGTGACAAAATAATTGAAATGAATGAACTTTGAAATTAGACTTAAGTGGAACTGTTATCTACTAGTTGTGGCAAAATTTGGCTAAAAAAGTAATAGCTAGTTATTCTCAGTTAATAATACTATGTTTCATTTTTTTTCTTTAAAAGAGGTGACCCAAAACTCTGTTTTATATAAATTCTTAAATAATCACACATTTTGAACTGGTCAAAAGCTGGTTTCATAACAGAAAAGTCTGATTGCATTGCTTATTCTTGTCATATATTCAGATAAACTCATACAATTTAATTTATTTTTAATCCAGTATTTAAATTCAGGAGCAGGAGGTCTTGGTGGTGCCTTTGTCCATGAAAAGCACACCCATACAATTAAACCTGCGTGAGTACCAAAGATCTTCTTTCATGAGTAATAAATTAATTTGCATCAGTAATATGCTAAATTTATATAAATTCTTTAAGATGCTAGACATTAAAAATTTGGATTGATTATAATTATTTTACTACTGTATTAACAATGATGTGCTTTATCATAAATAAATGCTATCCAAAGAGTTCAGTTGGTTGAACAAGAAATTTAATCATAAAAAGGGAAACTTCAATGCTAAAAATGAGTCACTGTAATCATGTAGACAGATGGCTTAATGCAAAAAGACTACTTCATTTTTTTCTCAAAAATCAGACTTTAGGAAATTTCAGATTTCTCACATTGATGCATAAATCAAAGGCAAACAGAGATGTGCCTAATAGAGCCTTAAATGTGGTATGATATTATTAAAATCACATCTACCTCTAAAGCTAGAAACATAATATGATGGTCTTTTAAGGACTATTTTCTGTCTTAAAAGATTTTATAATCCATGAAAACTGAAGAAGCTGAACACTGAACAACAGACTGACTACATAAAAAGCAATACTTTTCTATTTTACATAACTTCCTTCATTTTTTTAGAGTACATGTAAATGCAAATGTAATACACCAAGAAATTTACACATTTTTATTTGACTGGGGAACTCATAGTGTTTCTTCTACTTTTATCTGGTATGGAGATAAAGAAATAATATTCTAGGAAAAAAGAACCTTTTATAGTTGTTATATTAGACTATGCATGACAAGAAGACTGTCTCTGTCTAGACTCTTAATAAGTAATAAAATATGTTTGATTAGTTTTCTGAATCTTCTCAGCCACTGTTTGAGTGGTATAATCTTTATAAGAAATGAATTTGAATTAGTAATAAAGCTTGGAGCACCTCACATTTCTGAGTTTCTACACATATTAATATTAGAAATTTAAGATGATTTTCTGTAGTTCATTTAATCATATCTGAAAATTCTTCAAGATTTTAAAGTTTTAAAATTAGAGCATGTTCTTTAGACAGGTATTTTGTAAGGCTGACATCCCCTTCTAATAGTTGTCAGTACATTAGATTTTTCACCATGTCCCAAAATCTCTGAAAAAAATATAAAGGATATATTATTTTATAGGAATACCATGCATATTTTAAAAGTTCTCTTTTTCGTTTTTTGCAAACATCACTGAAAATGTTTTACCTAGCATATTTGTTTTCCATATAGAAGGTATATAAAATATTGCTGGGTTTTGTGTGAAGATTCACCACCTTGACCACTTCCCACTCTCGACTTATTTAAATTGTAATAGAGGATCTGATGTATTAATAGAGGATCTAATATATCAACCCAAAGGGCAAGCTAGTGGGGGTAGCATGGGGTGTTGTAAGTAATCTACACAAATTGGAGAGAATACAAGTGTTAACAGTTAAGCTCTGGTCTTAGATTACCTGTCTATTGTTCTTGAGGTTTCTTTCACCAGTACTTGTCCTTTATGGGTGAGGAGCAGGAGAGGGTAAAGGGGTTGTAGTGTGCATACACGTGCCTCATCTTGTAGAATCTCAGGATCCTCTAGATCAGCGGTTCTCAACTTGTGGGTCGCGACCCCTTTGGGGGTCAAATGACCCTTTCACAGGGGTCGCCTGAGACCATCGGAAAACAAAAAGATATTTACATTGGGATTCATAACAGTAGCAAAATTACAGTTAGAGAGTAGCAACGAAAATAATTTGATGGTTGGGGGTCACCACAACATGAGGAACTGTATTAAGAGGTCGCGGGATTAGGAAGGTTGAGAACCGCTGCCTAGATGCTGGAATTGTTAAGTCTGTGTTCCCAGGAGAAAGACCACTGAGGCAGGTAAGACTCACATTCCAGTTGGACCACTCGCTGGTCCACAACCTGAAAAATGTTTCTTGCCATCTCAATGTTCTAGTCTCTAAATAAAGACAATAACAGCATCTATCTCATAGGCCATTATTGGGAGAATACAGTGGGATGATGCATGTAAGCGTCAAGCACAGCCCCTAAAGCATTACATATGACCCATACCTGTAGGCTAAGTACTTTGTTGCCTCACTGTGACGTTGTATTTTTAACTTATAGATATTTGCCTAGCATGAATCATTTCTTTCAAGCAGAAAACACAGACCCAAAGTTTATGTTTTGTGACCTTAGGACATTAAACAGCTTTTCCCTATCACCAAGCTCATTTCAGAGGCCTTTGGCAGATTGACTGTGGAAGTCTCCATTCCTTGAATTCTCTCTGTTGCCAGCCTTACCATCTTACTTCTCTCACTAATTAATGAGTTGAATGAGATATTTGTGCATGTTCATGTTACATTTGTACCAGAACCGTGTTTTTAACTTTTTTGAAAATTATAAATTATTGACTATCGTCGCATTGTAACTATCTGGCTTTGGAAATTTACAAGACTCAAATCAGGCTTGACTCGTGAAGCCCTCCTTTGGGAAACCCTGGTCGTCGTTGTTGTTAAAGCTTTTTTATGTGATGTCAGAATGACTAATTACAATGGTGCCAACTTCTCTCCTATAGTGGAATGTAACTGAGTGATGTTGCAAACTTTGTTGCTTAAAAATGGGTGACATCTAGTGGCCAATCATGTTATTTCAAATAAATACTATCCGAATAGCATTTCTTTTCCTGATCTAGTCATTCATGCTTTAGCAAGTATTTTTAAAGTGTGTGTATATATATATTTTAAGTTATTTTTTATTTTATATCATTTGACTACGTATTTATAGTTCAATAATTGTGTAGTGAAAACCTTTGAAAAAGATGTATAACAGGATGAAGGTGGAAGTCAAGGTGAGGGGTATTCTAGGTGCATGGTTAAACAGCACACGTAAATGTTCATTGAGGCTGGGAAGGAATGCTACTGTGTTTGGCCCACCTGCTGTAAAGGGTGGATCTCAGGATACGTAATAGCCCTGAATTCTATAAGTTTAGTATTCAGAATGTAATTCTGAAATATCTTTTATATGATGTTTCTATTAGCAACTGATAAATTACATATCTACCAAGATATTTCCTTTTATTTTATTATTTTATTTTTTTGGTTTAAATAGTCATTTCGGCCATTGTTCAAAACTGATGAACTAAGACTTTTTCCAAGAACACTTTGCCAATAAAGAGAATGAGTAGAGGTCAGAGTCAATCAACTGTGTTAAGCCTCATAAGTGAAGCTGTTATTCTCACCTAGAATTTGACCTTTTCTTAGTTTATCATCACTATTTCTCATCCCAGTGTCATATGCTAAACCTTGTCTGTAGCTAAGAATTATACTAAATTAGGACTGATTGTGAGTTCAGACCACCTTTTGTCTTTTGCTTTAGAGCTGACTTCAATTCAGTCTATAAAATTTGTGATTATTGTTCTGAGATATGAAGGGAAATACTTTTAATTGTAAGAACTTGACAATCAGAAATGTATCACTAAAAAAAGTACTTAGATGTCTTTGAATTTTTCTTTTTAACTTTATCAATGTTGACTTTTCTGGTACAGTTTAGATAAATACTTAACCTTTTGATTTTAGTGGTTTCGAAGATATCTGAAGCCCATAAAAAGATTTTTCGGTAAGAGCCCATACACTACAATTCAAGATTCAATCCCCATGCCACACATTTTTTTTTAAAGAGAGTCTAGCATGAATACAGAAATGAACATATGAGCTATTAAGATTCTTTTTATCATTTACTTTTTTACCATGTCCTATGAAATCATACATACTGGAAAACTGCTATTCCTCACTTTCCATGCCGATGCAACAAACCTCCAAATGTTCCCATTTAGTAGATCTCTTGAGTGCTCATTTCTCCTGGAAATTTTTTTAAGCTTTCTCAGTGGCCAAGAATGGGGCCAAGTCATAATTTTTATGAAAATGCTGGAATTTCAAATCATGCCAACACATTTCCATAATCAACTAGAGGTGTTTGATTGAAGGCTTTAAATAAGGATGACATTTTAAAGGCTTTATTGAGGGCTTGAGTCATCTCATTTATTACAATAAGTAATTTCCAGGCTAAAAAGAACCAACCGAAGAGGCTGGCTGACTTCAATGCATGGTTAAGGTGAATTTTAGAAGTCAGAAATGTAGGTTATTATTGTCATTTGGCAACCTGAAAAAAAAAAAGTAGACACATCAAACAATGTTAAAAAATGTATAAGAAAAGATAAAAATAAGCATAAAATATGTGGCAAAAAAAAATTTTAAAAATTGTAAGCTCATGCCATTCTTGGCCTAACTATACAATTAATGTTATATGGGGAGAACACCTAATGCATTCTTTTTCTGGGCAATGCTGATTTGATTTATTTGATTCCACATACTTCTTCAGGAAATGCTGGAGAATGCCATAGCCCAAAAGTTATCTATAATTTAAAACTCTTTAGTATTTTAGCGATCCTTCTCACTTACTACTTACCACATCCTTGTTTATTGCCTGAATGAAATCTCCTTGTTAAAGACTGAGAGAATGAGGAAGTATACATGGCAGTAGCAAGGCATGTGAATTCGAAAGACTCCAGATGCTTTCAACTGAGATAGACCAATATCAGTAGATTTCTAAGTGAGAATTTTCACAGAATCTCTAGTTGAGACATGACCTAGCCCTCCCAGGCCATCTGTTCTACCTATTTCATATGTTACTGGAATTCAGTGTTCAGTACTAATATGGATGATTTCTCAGCCACAACCACTTGACCTCTCAGCCACATTAGGTATACTTAGCCATTCACTTTCTCATTCATTGTTTACTTCCCACAGTACTAAGCTTCCAGCGTACCATTTTCTCTTGCTTCTTTTACCAATGTATGTGATTATTCTTCTTTATTTTACAAGGTTTACTCTGTCACCATTTCATTGATTCTCTCAATGCCTCAAAACTTGGTCTTCTTGCCCAGGAGTATCTCATCCACAGTCATGATTTCAACAATTGACATTTGTAGAGGACTCCAATTTGTATTTCCAGCTTTACCACTTGTTTACTTTTAGCCCTTATTTTCAGCTGAT